TTAAATTGTTCTCGTGTTCTCTTTCTGCTTTCCCGGAATCATGTTACATCTTCCTGGCAGTTGCTGCGGCTAAGAGCTGGCAAGGGTGAGAGAACGAAATTGATATTTACAGTATATCTGAAACAAGCAAAGTAAGTTCAACCCAAGCTGACCTATTAACTGGTGTGTGCACTTTTGTTTGCGTTTTGGAAAGCGCAGCATCTTTCTGCTAAGTGACGGGAACAAAACACTGAAACACTTACTGGGAGAAAATGCACAAGATACCGTCTCTATTTCAGACTGTTCTGTTTTAAGGCTAAAGCTTACAAAGGAGTCTAAGGAGGTGACCAGCTCTCACTGGAAGTAAACCAGATGTGAGTGATTAACTCCTTAGGTCCATTTGAAAATCCCTGCCTAGAGGTCCTGAGTACCTATAACTCCATCAGAAGTTAAAGGGATTTTAAAAGTGCTCAACACCTTTCAGAGGATAATTATTATTGAGATGAAATGCAATAGGAAAGTGCTTCTTATTTTTCACAGAAAGTTTCTTAGTTTCATAGTTGTTAGGGGTTGGTGCTTCTGTTTTTTATAAAAAGTACTCCTGCTTTTTTTAGCCACAATGAAGATTCCTGGCCCTGAATATTCCTAGGAAATCTTGCCTTTCCGAAGAAACTGTTTGAGCAATAGCTGTTGGAAATACTGAGGATTGAATTAGAGTGTATGGTTAGCATGTTAGCATTTTGCATCAACCATCTAAAGATCTTAGTAACTTGTGCCCTTGAACTTACCTCTTTTCCTTTCTAAAGGGAGCAAGCTTCATCAGCCCTTTTCTCCTCTTGTGGACTATGTCAAGCAGTGAAGAATTAATTTATAGTTAGAGATTTCATCCCCTGTAATTGCCAACTCATTTTTTTCCAGTCTGTTTCTTGACCAGCCTAAATTATGCAGCTACAAACAACCCTCAGAGCAAGGGTTTTAAATCTAGTGAGGAGACATTTCTTTTTTTTCCCCCTCGAGCCTACAAACAAGATTTTTAGGTAAATCCAGCTGCAGCCGCTTCTGGGAGTGCAATGGCACTCCACTCCGTGGCCAGCGCTTGCAGGGGGGGCCCCGGTGCTCCCGCCTGCCCCCACTGCCCATTACCTAAGTGGTGAGTGGACCTTACGCATCGCCACTGTACCCTGCCATGCTATGTTGCCACCAGGCCCTCCAGTAGGATGTAGTTACGGTTATACCCAGGACCTTAGTTAACAACTAAGGTTTATCTTTCAGCTTGGATTTTTCCATCTTTCACGTATTCCAGAGATTTAACAATTTTACTTCATTTCCCCTCTCTGTCCTCCAAGAAGACTATCCAGATATGGGAAATATTTCAGTGACTGTTCAGAGAAAAACAAAGGACAAAATGGGTGGAGTGGAATGTGACAAAATCTACAAGCGGCATCTAGTGTCATCTGGCTACACTGTAGCTTCCATATCACCATTTTTCCCATGCTGTGCAGCTTTTTCTTCATGGATGGGCATCTTTGATGCTGTTTAGCACATTGGCCATGGTCTGTCTGGCAGAAGGAGCAGCACTGGTTTTCCCCTAAGAGAGAATGGCCCCTTTGGCTCAGCCTGGAGAGTCACTTCTTGTATCCCTGTTAATATCAGAGGGTGCCTGTAGATGTGCAAGGAGGCTGCTCTGATGCACTGTAATTACAGCACATTGGAGCAGACTCAGTTAATCAAGTCGCTGGGGCATGCTAATTAGTGTGCTCAAGCCAGCCTCTATATCTCATGTATCAGTGTCCCCGTGCTTCAAAATGGTGGTGGGGGCACTTTAACAAAAGCTTGTTGGATGAGCTTTAGTTAAAGCGCTCCCACTGCCATTTTGAAGCACAGGGATGTTGATACATGAGGTGCTGCAGGTGCTTTAATTAAAGTGGCTCTCCGAGCTGCTCTAATTAAAGTGACCTCCCCCACCCACCCCTGGAGTACATGCAAAAATGCCCAAAGATACCAGACACCTTAGCAATTTGGGGAAGGGCATGTCTCTTATGATATTTGTATGATACTAGCGTACTGCAGCTCTGATCTCAGTTGGAGCCTGAGGCTGAATTGTGTAGCAAATCATATGATTAATGCAACCCCAAAATTGTTATGAGTATCAGCATCAATATAATAATGACAATAATCATGATAATTATTAACCCTAGCAATAAAAATGTAATTCTGTACATTTCTGATTGAGATTATTTATTTATTTAATTTTCATCAGAGTTCATTTAAATCCTAATGGCCAGATACAGACATTATACTTTTCTGATCATTACGAGTGATTGGCAACTGTTCTATAGCTGTAACAGAACAGAAGTCTGGCACACATACACTGGTTTAAAAATGGTGGAACTTGGTCATTTGCCTCACACCAAAAGGCGACTGTATGTTCTGTTCACTACCAATCTAAACTACGCTGCTTACAGAAAATCGTGTAACTGAGATGGATGCCACATCGGGCTTTTTGAATGTCTGTTCCTAGCCAATGTGTCTGCTAAAGAGTTGAGACGTCAGCCCAACAAATTGTAAATTAAATCACATTACACAGGACTAGGATTTGGTTCAATGAATATAGTTTGTCTCTAGAAATTAATCTCTGAGCTATGGAGGCACAGGAACCAGAGACTGCTGAAGGAAGTATCAACAGGGCCAGTCAAAAAATTTCCATTGAAACCATATTTTGATGGAAAATTGCTTTCCTGAGAAAATGATTTTTTTTGCAAAGTTTTGGCTTTTGGCAGGAAGTTTCAGAGGTTTTCATTTGTTTGGTTAAAAAAACCAAAAGTTTTTTTCCTTATTTCAATTAAATGTCAAGGTTTTTAGCGGAGAAGAGTATTTTAGAATGGCTTTAAGAGTCATTTTTGCTTTCAGCCCCCAGGTAGTTATGAAGTCAGTCAGTTACGTTCTTTCCTTGCCTTTCCATACTGCTGAAACCTCAATTTCCATCCCATTTTGGTGACAGTCCACTTTGGCATTGGCGATTTGGTCCAGGGAGTGTGTCTGGACAGTGCACTTTTGCTGTGAGGCCTGGATCTCATTTGCACGTTCCATGGTGGTGCAAACCAGCAGGTATCTGTCTTGTACAGCTCTGAGAATTGTTGTGACACCGGAAAGAAGTGGATTTTTTTTCGCCATTCTGGCCTCTCTCGCCATACTCCCTTAGCTCAGTGGCAAAAGAGAAATGTTCTGTCTGAACCAGTCGTCTGTTTGGTATTGAAAAGTCAAAGTTGTTGTCTTAAATGACATCATTATTATTAAATATCCCCGTGGCGCAAACCCTTCAAGACAGTAATGATTTGTGACAGAAATAAATATACAGCTGTATGATAAAAGGAAGAAACCAAGGTGTGGGTGGAAGGGAGTAATTTTCCTAACCCAGAAAGAATCCAGGTGGGTGCAATTATCCAATCTGGGATTTACTGTACAGTGCCTTTCATTGTCACAGGTGGAAGGTGTTAGATGATGCAATATACACTTTTGCCAGACAAAGGACTTCTTAGCTCATTCCTCTGGAAACAGGAGAAGAACCTGAACTGGATTTCTATACTAACCTGGAATAGGGACTGTTAGCTTGGGCCCCCAAAAGACAAGCTGCAATCCAAATGGTATGTGCCTTTAAAAGCAAGAAAATAGACTCACATGAGAATTTAGGAATGATAGAATATGCCCGGGTTTTGGAAAGAGTCCACTACATTTTCAATTAAATTGTGGACTGTGGAACATTCTTATTCAGCAGATGTAATGAAGCTAAAAGTTGGACGAGCTAGCCTCTAAAATGCAAGCCTTGATGTAATTCCAGCAAAAATGGAACTAGACGTGTTGAAATTGCATGATAAAAGTTGGTTTAATATTATTGTCAGCCTAACTGGAAATTAAAAGCATTTGACATCTTTTTTTCTCCCCCCTCCCCACACACACACACTTCCAGCTCCCTTTTGCATAGTCAGGAGATTCAGATAGAGCTGGATTCAAAGCCTGGGAAATGAATGTAAATGTTCCCCTCTACATGCAAGGGCTTTGAATCAAGCCCCTGATGCCAAACAGGGCTGGTAAGTATTTGCCTTTAAAACATCTGAAAGGAGTGGGTGTCCACTTTGGACATGCTGCAAATACCCTACATGCTGTGCTGGTATGAGAGGAGAGATGTCAAGCCTTAATTTTAAGTTCATCCTTGTGCTGGTATCAGAGGACAGATGTTAGCCTTTTAAGTTAATCTCTGTGTGTATATTGCAAGGGGGATGGGAATTGAATGGGGCTTCAAAAGTTCACTTTGCTCCCAGGGGCTTCCTAACACGAGGGCCAGTGGGGCTTTTTTAGGGTGGCCATCACAGAGGACATTCTGGTTTTCTGCTACTCTGTCCTCTACCTATATCAGACCCCACCACACCTTTATGTCCTCTATTTCCCTCTTCAAGAGAAAAATAGAGGACATAAAGACATCCGGTTCCATATCAATAGAGGACAGAGGAAAACCGGACTGTCCTCCATGATGGCCACCCTAGGCACTTTGCAGTGCTGACCCTGGAGCTCTGCTTAGCAGAGCTGGGGGGAGAAATGTCACCCTGAGAGAGGGGACAAGGCTCCTTGGGTCAATGGGCTCTCTTTTCTTAGCCCAACTAAACAGAGAGCACAAGACCACCAGCAGGCTCTCCCTATGCCTGAAGAAGGGTGTTTGTCCCCAAAGCTTGCAAAGAACAATCTTTCCAGCTATTCAGCTGGTCTAATAACAGAGATCACATCTGCCCAAAGAACTTTGCCGGTGTCCTCAGACACAAAACACCCTCCGAGGAGGATTTTTGGGGGGTTTTGGGCAGGGCCTGCTTGGCCCCCTGAGCCCCCAGCTGAAGTGGCAGGGGCGGGATGCCAGCAGCGCTTGAAGCCCTCCTCCAGCCCCTCTCCCCTTCCCCTTCCTTCCTCCAGCCCTGGTGGGAGAGACTGCCCCTTGAGTGACCCGCTTTTCATAAGCTCCCCCGTCGGATCACATGAGTGAGAAGTGCCGCGTCTCTCTCTGCGCCCGCCCGCCTCCTCCCGCAGTCTGCGCTCGGGCGAGTGGCGGCTCGCATCCGGCTCCCCGCCCGGAGCAGAGCGCTGCGCTGCGCTGCGCTGCGGAGCCCGGCATCACCCGGCGCGGAGCGGGAGCGGCACCGGCACCGGCACCCGGGGGTCCCCTCGCTCACCACCCGAGCGCCCCGGCCCGGGCTGGGCAGAGCGCGGGGCTCCCCGCCGGGCAGGGGCAGGACTCTCCCCAGGGCACTCAACAGGAGGCAGGGAAGAAGCTGCCTTGCTTCGACGCCCTCCTCATCGCAGCGCGGGGGGGCGCTTCCCCGCGCAAACTTTGCTACTCCTGCTCCATGTCGTCCCCCCCCACACGCACCTTGGGAGGGAGCCCCCTGAAGAAACACACACGAACACACGCGCGCGCGCGCGCGCGCGCACACACACACACACACACACACAACCCCCCCCTTGGGCAGAAGCTCCATGAAGAAACACACACTCATTTGGGAAGGAGCTCCATAGAGAAACATATACACACACACTTGGGAAGGAGCTCCATAAGCGCACACACACACATGCACACACAGCCCTCCCTTTGGAGGAAGCTTCCTGAGGAGATGCCCCCCGCCCAGGAGGGAGCACCCTGAAGAAGCCCCCAGAAGCCGAAGGGAAGCAGAGCTGGCTCCAGTGGGAGTCTGGCCCCCCTTCACCGCCTGTAAGGGAGAAGGGGTGCTGGGGCATCCCCAGGCCTCCTCCTCCCTCTCTGGCCCTGCTCCAGAAAGGGACCCTGGGAGTACTTTGAGGACTCATTGGATAATGGAAGAGATCCATGGTCTCAGCTCAGGGTGGATTTACTGAAACAGCCACTGGCTATAGCCTTGTTTGGAATGAGGGCAGATCCTTGCATGGAAATATTAAAAAGCTCCAGGGGGAGGAGCGGGGACTTCACGGGCTGGGGAAACACAGGTGGGATTTTGGCCTTATCTGTTCTGCGCACGAGGGGTGCTCCAGAGGACAGAAGGGCAGCAGTTGTAACCCTCCCCCTTCACAGTGGGTAGCCAGCTAGAGACTTGTATTGTGCCAGAAATACCCTAACTTTGATCCCCAGAGAAACAGGGGTAAACCGTACCCTTGGATAAGCCCTTTCACTCTGATTTCCATGGCACGGAACATCCTCCGCCTAGAGTTGCATTTGGCCCTTGCTTTGCTGCTGCTCAAAAAAACTAACTCTAACAAGGGTTGCTTTATTGCTTTTTTGAGCTGTTGTCATTCCTTTTATTTGAATCTTTGTTATGTCTTGAAGAAAGGCTGGGAAGACACGGCCAAATTCTGCTCTTAGTTTCTTTGCTGTGAAAACAGGGTAACACTATTGTTGCCCGAGCGAGAGTACAACTTCTTCCATTGATTTAGAGATCATCTTGCAGCTAGTTTATGATTTCATAGCTTGATTCCCTCTCACCCCATCCCCCTTTTTTTCCTTTCAAAATTGGGCTACTTACATGCAATGGGGAACTTTTTATTTCTTGGAGAGTCCTCCTGTGCCTGTTGCTTACTCCCTACCTGATGCCACCCTCTTCTGTTTTGGACATCACAAGGGGTTGTGTTTCAAAGATGAATGAATGCACTGCTAATAAATACATTGTTAATGGAACATCTTGAAGCTGGAAAGCCATCAGGGATTAAGCCTGCCACCGTGTCTGCTGGGCCTTGTTTATAAACTCTGTAGAATTGTTGCACTGTGTATAATGCCTTTTCCTGAGTGAGTACCTGGTAGTGGTGAGCAGATGAGGCTATTCTAACCAGACTCCATTAGTCTGAATCAAATGGTCCAGGTGGAAGAACATATTATCCAGAGGTCATCAGCTCTGACACTTGCTGCCTTTCCTTTATTCCACTAGAGCTTTGGTTTGGCATTGTTGCAGGCCTGTTACACACCGGACATGTGCCCTCCCCCAAAAGTCAAGCATTGCAAAATTTGTTCAAATGTGGGGATTACTGTAAGGGGACTCTATATTTTATGGATCTATTGAGTGGTCCATTAGAGCACATGTGCAGTGGGAATTTTACTTGTGGTTTATTTTGAATAGGCCAAAAAAAGTGGCAAAAGTGAACAGTGTAAAATTGAAATACCCATCAAGAGAAATTGTTCAAAAGAAGTCCCCCCACTTGAAAGAGATCATGTATGTTTATGGCATGAGAAGTTGTTTGCTGTTGCAATAGAGAGAAGTTTGGTGGAAGGGAAATAAGGTGTCACTGCGAAATTTAGTGACTATCCCTATGTCTATGTGTATCTCTACATATGAGAGGGAAGAGTAGAAAAATGATGTCTCTGGAGTGAATCTGAACTAAACATCTTCGTATCCGGGGTCTGAGGCAGCTTTTACTCAGAAAGATGTCTATGGACTTTAGTGGGCTTTGGAGCGGGCTTTTGGGTAGAAAGGTGGGAAGGAAATTTGCTGCTTTCTTTAGCATGGGTGTGTACACACATGAGCCAGAGAATTTCATAGTTCATAGTAGTTAGAGGCTTGTTTTTGATTTTTTGGGGTTTTTTTTTAGGTATTTTACTTAAATGCATACGAAAGCACATACATACATATATAGATACTGCTTTTGTTTGTTTGTAAACCTGGTCTGGCTAAAAGAAATAAATGCTGCAGACTTCCGCAAGCATAGTTTTGTATGTCAGGGGTACGATTTGTGACTCTCATAATTGTGCTGGCAGAAACTCTTGTTTTTCTCATGGATGGCTTTACTCTAGTGCTAAGAAGCACACCACTGCTGGTGTTATACCTCCATTCACAACAGTACAATATAGCAGTATTCCTGCAGCGGTAAAGTGATATAAGCTGTATCAGTAAAGGTGCAGTTTCTGCCTGCACAGCTGTGTCATTTATTGATCATGGCTCACCACACCTCTGATTGCTGTGCTGGCCGCAGTCTAGCTATGTAGATGTGTCCTTATGGACATCTTTCCGCTGTGGCAAATGGTGCCAACAGGGGAGTGCCTATTACTAGTTTGGATATTGTTCCTTGGTTGACATGAGAAGCGTTGCATGACTTCTAGCAGCATGCTCTCCACCATGCTATGGTGGAGACTTTACATAGGTAGGTGGAAGAACTGCTTTCATACATGAGCTCTCAAAGTGTCCTACTTTGACAAGCAGTATTACATTTTAGAGCATTTCTTTTGTGCCTTAATGGGGATATGATTTACAAAGAGAAGCACAATTTACAATTTGGGCACTGTGGATTAAGCTGGCTTTGCTCTAGGAGGTTGCCTTTCTTAAGCCACCTCCCTTGCCTCTGTTCCTAATAAGATGTGGTGTTTTCCATGGGAATAGGTCCATGGATAACACTGTAAGTCTCACTTCAGCATGCATGACTGTCTGTGGATTAGTGCATCAAAAACATTTTAGGACTTTAACTGAGGAAATCTGTTTATTCCAAGCTTCTCCATAACAAACCATTCAAAATGCTGTCTTTGAACAAACTAGGTCAATGTAATGCGCACACAGGGTGTTCCTTGTATGCTAGGGGTGTCTTGCATTCAGTCTAACTATATCTCCAGTATGCTTGTCCCTGATTTATCCTTCTTGGACTGCCTTGTTCATAGGGAGCTTATGCAGCAAATTTACTGCTGGAGGTCATTCTCCATTCTTGGCATCTGTAGCAGCCTTAAGCATAAATTTCAGCTTCATTTTCTACCCAGTCAATATCCCTGAGTTTCCATGGTGCCCCCAGTCTTGTGTCTACATATGCATGTCTGACCGCAGGAATATCATTCTGTGTTGCTATATATACTTAGTAAAACTGTCAAAGCCATTTAGGATCTGTTTACTAATTTATATCCATATCCTGATATTATTAGTAGTTGTTAAACTTTGGCTGATAGAATTGGCTACATAAGGAATCAACAGCAATAATAAACTTCAGGCATGGCTCATGGAATTTATGGTTTTGAAATGGGCAAAATAACCAAGTTTTAGTTAGTTTGAGTGGTTTAAAACCAGTTGGGCATAACAGAGTTTTTGAAAACACCTAAGCTTTAGTGGCTGCCTTGTCACTTAGGTGTGTTTAAAAAGGTTATCCATTGTGTCTGTCTGAACGCATAGAATTCTTAGAGCTGGTTTGGTTGAAGTAGCTGAGTGTGCATTACAAAATAGGTGTGAGCAGAGTCAAAGTGTGGAAGTCTAACATCAGTTGGAGTCTTTCTATAAAAAGCTTTGTTCAGAAGACGCTCTGTAATAAAAATAGGGAAAAAATTAAGGAGATAAGCTATGGCCATTAGAATGCAGATGCTTGTCTTTTACTAAAATAACCTGCTCTAACAATAATTTTGTTACAACTCTAGAAGTAGTGCAACAAACTTTTAGAAGTATGGTGGTGATGAAATCATCTGATAGAAGGAACACCTTTCACAATGTCTTTAATTATGGGGTAGGAGCTCCTAAGCAAGGAGTACTGCTAACATTGCATTGTTTGTGCTCATATCCTTAGTCATATTGACTTGAAAGTGGAAGGTACCCTGGGATATTCAACTAAAGGCATTTACTCCTTGGTGGTGAAATTTGCTAGCCATGGGATAGCGGAATTGGTACTTTGAATCAACTTTATGTCCACAGAATAATTTGCTTGCATTTTGTTCAATGTAGTGCTAATAATAAATTGAGGCTAGTCTACTCCAATAAATATTTCATTTCTTTTCAAATGCAGTAAATAACATGACATTCTAGAACATCAAGATTGAGAGAGTATTTTTCATTATAACCAGTGTCCGGCTCCTGTGTCTGTCAGCAACAAGGTTTCAGTTGCTAATTGTCAGTTGTCTCAGTTTGATTCTTTACAGTTTCATACCTTTAGTGGAGTTTGTGAATTTCTGAAATTAGAAAGGGTGACTTTAGATGATGATAAGCAAGTACTATAACAGAAACATAAACTTTTAGCAAACGAGATTCAGATTTTATATAGGCATCCAAGTATTAATGGGTTTACTGGTAATAAATAATGATGGAAGAGAAATTCAGATATCTAGGGAAATTAAATCTAAACAGTTTCCAAGCTGCTGTATAATGGCTGGCCTGTATAATAGTATTTACACAATTCAGTGTGTTTAGTTACTGTTGGGGTTGGATCTCTTGTAATTAGTACCTTGAGGTCCGTAGTGTGATTAGGGTAAAGGAGATTTTAAGATTAAGGAAACTACAT